AAGACTTTATTCGGAACGAAGACCACCAACACCACCAACTCCACCACCAGAACAGCCACCACTATCAGCAACACTCGAACATATAATATCACAACGAGTCACTGATGCACTGGCTAACTATGAGATAATTCAAAACGCTGCATCTGGAGGAGGAAATGGAAAAAATAGAGGTAGCAGTAGTTCCCATGGTGATAACCGAGACCCCAAAGAGCTATCTTACAAAGACCTCATGAACTACATAACAAAAACCTTTTGCAGAAATGAAGGAGTTGTGGGTCTAACAAGATGTATTGAGAAAACAGAGTCTGTATTTCAAGTAAGCTTTTGTCCGAAAGACAACAAAGTTAGGTTTGCTGCCTGCACACATTTATGGATGCAACCTTAACATGATGGAATGGCCATGCAAAAACAATGAGTGTTAACGCTACAAACGTCGTGACCTAGGAGGAAGTAAAGGTGATGTTCATCAAAGAATATTACCCTAGGGATGAAATAGAAAACCTAGAACAGGAACTCTATAACTTAACCATGAAGGGTTTAGAAATTGTTGGTTACACTACTAGGTAGTCTGCTTAAGAAATCACTTTTTGTTCTATAATACGCTTGAGAGCTTAAAACTCTTGGGCTAGCCGGAGAGAGTTCCATACTATTGGATCAAGACCCAAAAATCATTTTGTTATAATGTTAGTTTTCTGTTACTCGGATATTAATTTTTGTAAAGTTATTTTGGTTCTAAGAGAAAAGAATGAAATAATTAAATAAAAGGGCATTAATTAATACCTAAAAGAATTAGTCGATATTTAAAAAGGATATATAATTTAACTAAACTGATTTGCGTGAAAAATAGATTAAATATAACTTATCAAAAGCTATAAATAAATTGAGGGGATAAAGTGTCATAAAATGAAATGCAACTTATAAATATATCTAGGATAGATTGGGAACAAAGCTAGAAGTTTAAGGACTGGACTAAAAAAAATCTGATATTAAACCTCCATAACATAATTGGCGTTTTAAGGGAGGGATACGTCCATTTTTTAGCCCTGTTATCTTCATGCAATTTTCCTTTTCCCATTACATACATCGGGAGCGATCAAAAACGTCATTAAGTTGTTGATTGTTGCATCGTCGATCAGTGAGGGCACCTAAAAAAACAAACATAAGGGAGAAGGAGGAGCGGCGACAGCGAGGTTGTGTAGGGGATTGGAATGGTGTGTTCATGCTTCAAATTTTTGGTGAATTGATTGGAATGGTGGGTCAACGGCTTTCTATTTGGTGTCAAAATTAATGTGTTCTTTCACTTCAATTCTTTTGGCTCTACATAGGGTCAAATTTCCTAACCATTGGGTGTGCTTTAAGTTAGTTCTATTTTTCAAAATCCTTCTAAAAGCACTCCTCTATATGTTGTTGATGGTGCTTAAGGATTAGTCGGAATTGTGAAGTTACTTTCTCTCTTTTGGTGTCATAATTCTTGTTTCTTTTATTTTCAATTCTAATGATTTCATGTGTGATATTTTTCTGCATAAATATCATGTTTTAAACCGTCTAGAAGGTTCTTAGAACAACCCCTAAGTGTCTTGATATGTGGCTTAATGATGAAGAACACCCAAACCCTAATTGTGTTTTCTCTTATTAGCATCATAATTTTGTTTTTCCTTTTAAAACAATGTAGTTTGGGTCATGGTTTGAAGTTGGAATTGTCTTTTGGACTCAATGAAGTGTTGTTACTATTAAGAGCTTAATTTACATCTTGGGGTCATCTTTATAATGACGCAATGGGTTAATATGTCAATTAACTCTTAAAAGTTAAAGTTGGGAAATAATACGAAATTACCTATTTTGCCCCTGTTTTGTAAAAATTCTATAAAAATCACAGAATGTTGGATCTAGGATCCGTTGGTTCATAAAGTTCAAGTTTTGAGTCTAGTATGTCACTCATTTTTTCCATGACCCATTGTTGGATCTAACTAGGGTGAAAATCGTCATTTTCCATAATTGGTTAGAAATTAGTTGCATTGATATCTCATTTGGTAAAATCCATAGTAAATTGTAGAAAAAATGTACGGGTCTGTATAGGTAGTCCCTAGAAAGATAAAAGAATCAACTACTGGAATATAGAATAAATATTGTAACTTTGGTAGGCTTTAGTGGTGTTAAAGTGGCTTTGATCAGGCTGTTGTTTGGGTCGAAATCTAGAAATTTAGTCTAGTAGTTTGTATATATATATAGGGTATAGAATAGCCATTTTAAAACTATTATAGGAGTGTTGCAAGGTGAATTGGTGTGATTGAGTTTCCGTAATATAGTTGGAGGTTTATTTTGCTACTCGATAGGAGATCGTGGTACCTCAAGTGCTTACGAGATTCAAAATGAGGAAAAAGCATGTTCTTGACAAAGGTAAGTTAATCCTTGTGGAAATTCAAGTACTTTGTTAGGGAAATATTAGATTGGTTGGAATGAACCTAGAATGTTATAGGATGTGTGTGCCCTATTTGAGGTAGATTTGTATGTTATGTATGTGGAATTTGTTTGTGATTTGAAGTTTAGAATGTTTTACATGCATGCGTACTGTTTGCACTGATCCTTAACGACAACGTGTATACTAGTATATGCAACGTCGGAGTAGCGGACACAACAACAATCAGGGACAATGTTACAGGTGAGAGTCGCGCATCACTTAGTGCATTGGGTCGTGCCAGTCATGTTAGTAGCGAACATGATACTTACCTTGGGGTTACTGATAATTATATAGACCCATAAATAGGACGTATTATGATAACAATTACAAAGATGTTTAAGAGGGGAGTAATTGTTAATGATGAAAATGAAGATTAATATTATAGTGAAGTATGAAGTAATAACTAACTAAAAAGATGAATAATGAAGTGTAACTAAATATAAAAGGCTCTAAACAAGAATAGTATTTGAGAATTATTCTAATGTTTATATGATGTACCTGATGTCATGCTATGTGAGTGTTTAAATGCATGTTTATATGATATTTCGTTCAACCTATTTGGGATATGTATGTTCCATAACACCGTACTTATTATTGACACTTAGCGTATGCTGACACTTTTTTCTTTGCTTTTTGTGTTTTCCATGCATTGGTACAAGTATCATGATATGGTGGCCTGGTGAGGATGGATACTTGTGGGTAGTTACTTAGTATTACCTTAGTGAAGATACCACTTTGGATATGCCGTTGAGTTTTCATTTTCATTCAGTTTTGAGAACTTACTTTAATGTTGGGTTTTTGAGAACTTTTATTTTGATGAAACTTGTTTTGGTAATAAAGTAGCATTGGTGATGCTTTCATAATTAATTAAAATAAGAGTTTCACTAACGTATTCTGGTTAAAATGTGTTTTAAATAAAAAAAATTAGGTGAAAATTCACGATGTTACAGTTTACCATCTGAAACTTTATCCATTTCATATATCTAATAAGTCAAGACCTTAAGCCCTAACTATATTTGGGACCAAACCTCATGCATGGCTTAAAGGAGAAGCATGCATATACACTTTTCAGCCAACCAACAAGTCCATAAGTCATTAAATCTCATAATAATGTTCTAGAGTTCTCCAAACTCCAAGAACTCCAAAGAAAATGGCTCAAAAAGACCGAAATGACATAATATCAAGATCTAAGAATCTAATGATCATGTTTGAGAATTTATTCCTATAAAGGTGCATAAATCAGTTGAGAATGTTGGAACAAGACCTCAATACCACAAGAACCACCTTCTTCAACCGCAAGCTTCACCAACAATGGAAAACCAAGGTCAAAAACACCAAGAACACAAGAGAGAGAGAGAGAGAGAGAGAGAAAGAGAGAGAAAAGGGGAGAAAGAGCTAGGGTTTCGTTTTAAAAATAGAGGCGGATGAGAATGATGAAACCCTTAAATAGACCTGAATCCCAAGGTTTCTAGGATTTGGCCCATCATGCCCAACGCACTGCAATCATCACCTGGCCACGCCGTTACTTAAATGACGTGACCGCACCGCTATGGATCTCTACCGTCGTGTCGCGATCAGCCAAAACCTTAAGACTCCAAACTTAAATAGACCTGAAAACAGATGTTAGATATTATAAACAGTTGAAAATTTTTATCATAAATTGTGGGAGTTGATGAATATTTTTTCTAATTAATATATATGATGAAAGTATATGATATTCGAATGTAATTATAAAATAATATAGATAAATAAATTTCAAGTTTTCTTTATCTTTATAAGGTACTTTTATAATTCGATATTTTGTGAAAAATAGAAGGATACGTTTATAATTTGCCCTCAATCAATCAATAAATAAATATGTGGGGTTGAATCGTCGTATGCGCGCATTGCCGCATTGATTGTCAATGACTTAAAAAGATATAGGCTTAAATGCATGTTTAATGTAGTTATATTATTATTACTAGTTTATAACCCGTGCGAACCATGGTTATAAAATTAATTAAACTTTGTAGTAAAAACTCAAAATTATTGATTAGTTATTTTAAATAAATTATTAATTTAAGAGATATTTTTATTAGTTATGTCAAATTGTAATCGTTGATTCAAATAAATATGTAAAATTAAGTTGTAATATATATTAGATATTTTTATTTGTGAATTAATGAAAACAATAATATAAAATTTAAAATATATAATAAATACATTGATAAATAGCATCATATTAATGAGCAAATCTAATAAATTTAAAATGAAGAACTAATAGATTGACAAGTAGCAACACATTAATTAAGAGGTTTAATATGGTGACACATGGTAAAAGAACTACTCTTTTATTATTATAGAGATATTATTATTATTATTATCATTATTATTATTATTATTATATGATAAAAAAAGGTTCTTGCACAAAATCAAATTTACCCAAATCAATTTTGTAGCATAACCGTAAAGAAAAACGTCTTTTGAATGAGTAACAAGTTTATTTCATTGCATAAACTACTAAAAGAAAATGTGCATAACTACACAATTTAACCTAATATATATCACTAAAAACTCCAAAATACATGGTATGCAAGACTTGAAATTATGTATTACAAGTTCCCATTATTAATTTATCATAATACATATAGGATTGCTTTATAAATCACAAAAGAATATATAAATTATTACAAAAGTGACCATAAATTGAATTTATCTCCAATGCAAATATTAATTCACACGCTTAGTATATGAAACTATATTTGATTTCATGGCTGTTGGATTACTTGAACTTGTTCCCAGATGCAAAGGATCTCTTAGCCTTATGAGATTCACTCGGCAATTTAACATTGGTCGCTAACCCTACCTTTTCAAGAAACAGTATAAAACACCAACACAGGTCAAGTTGCCACCATTCTAAGCCAAATCGGGCTGAATATTCAAATGCATGGTGATTGTTATGCCACCCTTCTCCAAAAGTAAATAATGCCACCCACCTGCATATGCATATATAAGGTTAGGTTTGTACCATAGATACTTCAAATGATAATATTATACGTAAAATAAACATAATCGTATACATGTAAAGTTGTTAAGGTACATACAAATTGTTTTTGGAAAAATCACCGGTGTTCCAGGCTTGGCTTCCCCATATATGGCAAGCTGAATTCACTAGAAACGTCAAGTGGTAGGTCACTGTGATTCTCACACCCTGCAAGCAATTAATGTCACAAAATTAAGCAAGATACTCGTAAGTTAATCATTAAAAAATCAAAATTTTATATTTAAAGAAACTCGTACCACAACCCAAACAAGATAGGAAAAACCACCCAAAGCATACACAATGGCAGCAAATCCAAGAATATGCCATGAATAGGTTCTTCTGATGAATCGATAGAATAATTGGCTCTTTAGATCTTCTACGTTTTTACGTTCTTTATACTGTATACCATTGTATGTATATGTACCCATGTCAAAAATATTATAATCACAATTATAACTCAGCTAGGTGAAGAAATAAATAAAAAATAATTTTAACATAGTGAAAAAATTAATATACCTTCTCAATAAGGTAGCTGTTGTCAAAGAGCCAACCTATATGACTAAACCAAAACCCAAAAGTGGGAGAGTGTGGATCTTTGTCGGATTCTACATACTGATGGTGAGATCGATGTATACTCACCCAAAATATTGGGTCCCTCTGAGATAAACGAGACTTTTATTAAATATGATGTTTAAAGCGATTGATATATTCTGAAAAGAAACAAAAATGTAAATAAAACCTGAGCAGCATGAACTGCGAAATAAGCAAACGTGTATTCAAGCCATTTTGGTAACTTGAAACTATGGTGTGCTAGATTTCGATGATAGGAAAATGTTATACCACTCCCGCACAACACGTAGAAACAAAATGCTACCCAAAAAGCACCCCAAGTAAACGTAAATGGTGCAAAACATGTTAGCAAATGAACACTTAAGATCCACCCACCCATCATCACATCTACAAAATTCCATTTACGACCAGAAAATAGGTCCCTTTTCCTCGTTACAACCACATCTGACATCAGTATTTTTCTATATTTGGGTTCCTTTCCACCCTGGGAAACAAATGTTTCAAAACGCATCATATCATGTTTCAAAATGTGCATCAAGTGTTTGTATATAAAGGCATATCATTCATTACGTTTGTAAAGAGTCGTTGAAAAACATGTAATGTTGTCTAATATATGTCACATCATACACTTGAGACAAATATAAGACAAAATTACAAAAATAATCCTTCTATTGACACAATTGACCAACTTTAATCCTTGTGATAAATTTTGTGCATAGATAGTTTATATGGTTTCAAAATCTTGTAAGGACGGTCTTTTTTATTAACAATGTTATCTTTTTCAGTTAAATCTCTTTTAAAATAACACATTTGCCTTTTCTACCATAGGGATCATTTATATACTTTGTTCTGGCCACAAAGACTATTTATGTAACATCATCTATTATTTATTTATTATTTTTATTTAATTAATTTATATTACTATGATTTAGATGTTTTTGACGTTTTGTTGGAATATATTATTTAATGTTTTCTTTTATATTTTTGCTTACACTTTTTGATATTTTGTTCATATAATTTTTAATTTTTGATATTTTTTTCGAATACATTTATTAATATTTCTTTTGACTTTTTGTTTAAATAATTTCTTATATATTTTTTTTTGTTCGAATATATTTTTTAATATTTTTTTCTACATTTTATTTTTTTGTATTTATTAAACATTTCATGGTTATTGTAATCATAATTCCTAAGTTAATTCAATTAAAATCATATTTTCCTTTTTTTTTTGTTCTTTTAATATAGATAAAGTTTTATAAGTATTATTTTATAATTCAAATATATAACTATATAACACATATAAGGTTGTTAAACGTGAATATGATTAATATAAATTAGGTACACATAGGCTAACATAAAATTGTCTGGTAGTTTTGACGAGAGCGTACATTTCATTTCACATTGGACTTAACTTTAGTATTTTTAAGTTATTTAATTCTTTTAGATATTTTTTTCGATTAAGCTATATGTTCCAATTAACCTATCTATATTAACCATATTCACATTTAACAAAACTTTTTATATATTTAAAAAAGGTTTTATAAAAAGATTTATAAAAATAGTAATTATACATGTTATATAGTTATATATTTGAATTAAAAAAATAATAACTATATAACCCTTATATATACATACACACACACACACATATATATATATATATATATATATATATATATATATATATTAAAAGAACAAAAAATAGTAAAATATGATTATAAGTGAATTAAGTTATGAATTATGATTATAGTGATCATGAAATCTTTAACAAATATAAACAAAAAATATAAAAAAAAATCATTAAAAAATATATTTGAATAAAACCTCCAAAAAAAATAGAATAAGTTATTCAAGCAAAATGTCAAAAGAAATATTAATAAATGTATTCGAGTAAAACATCAAAAAAAAATAGAAAAAATCATAAGAACAAAATATCAAAACATGCAAGCAAAATAAAAAGAATAAAAATAATAATAAAAAATAAAAAAAGAACCATCAAACATATATTTGAACAGAACGTCAAAAAAATTCTAAATCATAGAAATATAAAAAAATATTAAATAATAGAAAAAGTTACATAAATAGTTTGTCGGAACAAATTACATGAATGGTACTTATGGCATGAAGAGCAAATGGATCATTTCATAAGTGACTTAACTCAAAAAATTAACATTATTAATCAAAAAGACCATCTTTGCAAGATTTTAAGACTACATGGACCATCTACATACAAAATTTGTCATAAAAACCAAGTTGGTCGTTTGTGTCAACCACAAGGACCATCTATGTTATTTTGTCCAAACATAAATATATGGGGTCTGAATAATACTTTAAGTTAATATTATTAAACAGTAATCAAGTTTTTAGTTTGTTCTAATTAGATAACCAAACATTTTTTAAGATGTTTTTCATTTAAATTTTATTTTTTACACTAATCAAGAAAATATAAATTATAACTTGTTTGACATATAAGATTATTGACTTAATAATAACTAATAAAATAACTAATAAAGAGGCCGCGCCTACGCCGCTTTTGGGATATTACGGGAAAAATGTCAAACTTTAAAAGATATGTGCTGAAATTGTAAATCACCACAAATAGGGGAGAAAGTCGACAACCTCTAAAATTAGATGTCAAAAGTGTACAACCAAAAGAATGGACACTGCTGGATAAAATTCAAAAATATTGTGACAATAATGTTAAAGTTGCCAAAGTTGGGAAAATATGGTGACAAAATTCAAAAGGAGGTTTTTTTTTCTTTTTTATGTCAAAATGTAAAAGTTTTTAGTACAATGACGAAAAATATCAAATTCATAAAAGATTTGTGGCAAAAACATCAAAAATGTAAAACTTTTGACTGTAAGGACTAAAAGTGTCAAACTCACTAAAGATTTGCGGAAAAAACCAAAAGGCAGAAAAATTCAATCAAAACACAAAAATATAAAAGTTTTGAATTTAAGGGAAAAATGTTAAATGCACCAAAGATTTGTGGTAGAAACCTAAAACCTAAAAATATACTATTCCTAACTTTCATTTCTTTAATATATATATATATATATATATATATATATATATATATATATATATATATATATATATATATATATATAGGGAAAAGTGAATATACCCTTAAGGGTACATAAGCTTAGGTACCCCAACCCACTGTAATACATCGTTTTGTTTAATATATTCATTATAATGCTCTTTATGTTCAATTCCTAACTTGATTTACAATTAAGATTTTTCGAAATTTCACTATTATCTTCCTTTACATTACATCTTTTTGCCAAAGACCTAGTAGGCTATATGTATTATAGTTGAAAATGAAAATTATGTAAGAGGGAGATAAATGTGAAATTTATAAAAATCTTGGAAGTAAATCAAGTTATAAGTTAAATTATAAAAACATTGGACAATTATAATGTATATATATGATACAAAACGACGTACTATTATGTGTTTGGGTACCTAAGCTTATATACCTTTAAGGGTATATTCACTTTTCTCATATATATATATATATATATATATATATATATATATATATATATATATATATATATATATATATATATATATATATATATATGTTAATAACACGAAAATATTGCTACAACATATTTGGATTCTCAAATGTTTTTTTTTTCTCTCACTTATAGATTGATAAACAATTTTTTAAAAAAAAATGAAAGGGATGGAAGTTAGATTTGATGAGGTGTAGGAATTCGTGACGATTATCCATTTTTAACCAAAGGGCCTTTGGCCTAGTAGTAAGGAGTGATTCTCTCAAATTAGAGGTCATTGATTCAAGTCTTATTAGAAAACATAGGTGGTTTTAGGATTAGAAATAATCTACTACCTTATATGATGTAATAAGTCCTCCATCATGTACCTGAAATCCATCCAAGAGAGTTTATGTAGTCATTGCATTTAGAATAATGCTTCTAACTGCTAAAGGTTGAAATTAAGCTCATTGCTTAAGCATGTAGGACTTAAGCATGTAGGACTTGAGTCGAAGATAATCAATATTTTTTATTTTCCTATCAAAGTTGTTGCTTTAATCTTGAATCTACTCTTCAAGCGGTGAATTCCCTAATCACAATGTTTAGCTAACAAAACAACATAGTTTTATAAGGTTTAGTGGTTGTTTATAAATTTTAAATCACAAGTAAATAATTTGTTTTTGCTTCTTCTGTAAAGTTAGATCATATTATAATTATATGTCCTTTTAATATGTTATGGTTTTTGAAAACCGAATTATAAAAACCAATCCTACCGAATTGTAATTGGATCGGATCAGATCAGACTTGAATTTAGTTTGGACGATGTGGATCCATATTTTGAAAACCAAAATCCATTTGGATTTACTTAATTGGATCGGATCGAACGGATTCATCCAAACGAACACCCGTAGTAACTATTATATTAGTCTAATGTTATATTTAAGGGCCTAACCCATTTGTTGTAACGTCCATTGTATATCTAAGAGGAATGATAATAAGTTAATAATGGGGAAAATACGATCTAATCATTTGATTGACATTTACGGTTAAATCGAATACATATGCGTCTAAATTTGTTTGATAAACGGATTGATGTGGATTTCATGTTATGTCCTATTTGTTCTAGGCATAATGAGACCAACGACCATATGTTGTTATTTTGCCTGGTTGCAGATTCTATGTGGCTTCAAATTGCAAAGATGACGGGATTTAGATACTCCTAATTGTACCATGGTTACGGACTTGTAAACTTAGGCAGAAACTGCTAATTTAAATTTTACTCAAAAAACTATTTTGATACGGTTATTATTACAAAATTAGGGGTAAGACCTATGTATTAAATGAGTTAATTAAAAAAATTAAATATAAATATCTGAATATTTAAAAACTTTGAATTTATAAGAAAATAAGAAAAATAATAAATTATTAAAATTGTTTTTCTTTATCTTTTAAATTTAAATAAATAAACAAAATAAACTAATGAGCTTTAATTTGAGAATTTTGAAATAAAAAGTTAAGTCCATTAATAAAGTTTATATTCATTTATTACTATATTTATTGTAATAATTAAATTAAAGTTTTATGTAAAAAAATTTAAAATAGATAAACCCGCAAAATGACATGTAGAAATGAAATTAATTCATAATAACATAAATTTGACAAATTAAATAAGAGTGTAACATGTTGCAAAAAAAAAAAAAAAAAAAAAAAAAAAAATCTTTCATTTATTGAAATAGAATTAGATTGTTTGGAATTTCAGAGATAACAAAACTTTTGAAACAGTAAAACAAAGGACTAAACAATAAAAACTAATAACAGTAGCAACCTAAATCTTATTTACACTAATGACAATATATATATATATATATATATATATATATATATATATATATATATATATATATAAACTAAGTTATTGATAAATCAAAGACCAAAAAATATTATTTAACTTGATAGTTATAAATGTTATATGATATATGGTTAAAAAAATTCTTCAAAATTTTAGACTAATTATATATTCAAAGATGCTGCTTAACGGATGATAATTTAATATAGACAAAT